CGCCTCTGTCTCGCCGGTGTGTGTGTGTGTGTGTGTGTGTGTGGGAGCCTATGGCTTGACGGTCAGTGTGTGTGTGTGTGTGTGGGACCCGACGGTCAGTGTGTGTGTGTGTGTGTGTGTGTGTTTCATTTAATCTCAGTTGCCAAGGCTCTTCTGATGTTTTCAACAAATCTAGCAGAGCTTATAAAATGAGTAAATAAAAACATGACATTATAGAAGTCTATGAACAATTTGGAGTTCAGTTTGTGTGTGTGTGTGTGTTTGTGCATCACTGATTGGTCCATGGATGTATCAGGTCGTTAGTAAAATGCAGTTTCTTCCTCATTGCTGAAGTTTTGTGTGATTGTCCAACTTTCTGAAGGCAGGGCAAACTATTCAGATTTGGGAAGTAATCTCCTCATAGTTAGGACCAGTAGAAGTGTGCAGTGATAATGTGTTTGAGCAGATTGTTGTGTGCTGATGCTGTTTGTGTGTTTCTGCAGCTTCAGGAGTGTCTGACGGGCTTTCTTCAGTGTGTGTTTTATGGTTTTAAGTGTTGTGTAGTGATAAACTGGACTCAGGTTTTGATGATTCGTTTCCATAGAGCAGAGGTGCACAAACTTCTTACTTTTTGTTTAGGACGTTGTGTGTGTGTGTGTGTGTGTGTGTGTGTGTGTCTGTCTGTCTCTCTCTCTCTCTCTCTCTCAGTCTGTTGGGAATCGTCTGCAGAGAAAGTGAGCGCTGTTTTTCTTTCAGCTCTTTTTTGTTTTGGTTGTCAAGCTTGTGTGTGTGTGTGGGCAGACCTACATGTTCCCATGAAGATGAAGAGTGGAGGGCAGACCTCACAGATATAGATTCATTTTTACAGCGGTCGCACACAGAGAGCTCGTTTCTGTCATCATTTGCTACAGTAAATTTCGTCTCCACTAAAGCTCATGAGTGAGTTCTCATGGAGTCCTCCGCTAAGTCAAGTCACCTTTATTTGTAAGGCGCTTTATACAATATTGGTTGTGTCAAAGCAGCTTTACAGAGTTAAACAGGAAAATAGTTTGTCAATAATGCAAGACAATAACAGAGTTATTTTTCAGCTAAAGTCAGTTCATTGTTGATTCAGTGATGTCAGTGACAGAAATGGAGAAAACCTTGGGAGAAACCAGGCTCAGTCGGGGGGCCAGTTCACCTCTGGACAGATGAAACCAGCAGTTAAATTCCAGGCTGCAGCAAAGTCAGATTGTGCAGAGGACTCATCTGGTTCCTGTGGTCTTGTCCCGGTGGCTGTCTGAGAGTCAAGGGGATCTGTCTCTGGAGCTCATCTAGTTGTCCTGGTCTCCGCTGACATTCAGGGCTATAGAGGTCCTCTCTAGGTGCTGATCCACCATCTGTGCTGGATACGTACTGGATCCGGGTGACTGCAGTGACCATCTGATCTGGATACAGACTGGATCTGGTGGCTACGGTGACCTCGGAATAAGAGAGAATCAGACTAATATTAGCGTAGATGCTATTCTTCTAACGATGTAGCAAGTACATCGGGTGTTATGAGAAGTGTTCCCGGTTCCGGTTGTCCTAATTAATGCAGCCTAACAATCCTTTAATGGATTTGAATATTAGAAATGTGTTAGTGTGTTATGTGTAAGCCAGGTTAAAGAGATGGATCTTTAATCGAGATTTAAACTGACAGAATGTGTCTGCCTAACTGTGTCTGATTAACATTTCTGCATTTGACATTGAGAGCATAGGTCGTAATTTAGATATATTTTTGAGATGGAAAAATGCAGTTTTACAAATGCTAGAAACATGGCTTTCTAAGGAAAGATTGCTATCAAATAGTACACCTAGGTTCCTAACTGATGACGAAGAATCGACAGAGCAGCCATCGAGTCTTAGACAGTGTTCTAGGTTATTACATGCGGAGGTTTTAGGTCCGATAATTAACACCTCTGTTTTTTCAGAATTTAGCAGTAAGAAATTACTCGTCATCCAGTTTTTTATATCGACTATGCATTCCGTTAGTTTTTTAAATTGGTATGTTTTGCCGGGCTGCGAAGAAATATAGAGCTGAGTATCATCAGCATAACAGTGAAAGTTAACACCGACTCAGCGAGTTCTCACGGAATTCTTAGCGAGGAATTATTTTTTATTTTTCAAATTCAAATTCAAAGTTGCTTTATTGGTATGACTGTAAAATAATTAAAATACAATATATATATATATATATATATATATATATATATATATATATATATATATGAGTGTGGTGTGTGTTACACACCCCAGACCTGTACGTCATCTTACATTTCATACAAATATAATGCTGGACAACAACTCCTTAAATGCAGTTATGCCCTAAAAATTCAAGATATTGGGGCAAAAAAATGCCCCTGTATGAGTTTTTGTCTCATATTTATATCATATGATAAGCGATATCACACCAGTGCTGTTTTTGTCACGAAGAACAGAGTGCAAATGTGATTTTATATAACAGTTCAGTAAATAAAAAGTTAATATTGTGCAAAATTTAAACCTAATGTTGTGCGTTTTGTTCAATTTTGCCAACAAAAATATTACCTTTAAAGCCGCAGCAGAATTGTTGTGCGTCTCCAAGCAACACAACGCTGTTTAGTTTCTGAATGAATCAGCTGTTTGAACAAATCGAGTGAATCAATGAATTAGCAGCCCATTCATAAAGAGAGCTGTTTACTGAATTCCTGAACGAATCAGCCGTTTGAACAAATCGAGTGAATCAATGAATCAGCAGCCCATTCATAAAGAGAGCCGTTTACTGAATTCCTGAATGAATCAGCCGTTTGAACAAATCGAGTGAATCAATGAATCAGCAGCCCATTCATAAAGAGAGCCGTTTACTGAATTCCTGAATGAATCAGCCGTTTGAACAAATCGAGTGAATCAATGAATCAGCAGCCCATTCATAGAGAGGTGTTTACTGAATTCCTGAATGAATCAGCCATTTGAACAAATCGAGTGAATCAATGAATCAGCAGCCCATTCATAAAGAGAGCCGTTTACTGAATTCCTGAACGAATCAGCCGTTTGAACAAATCGAGTGAATCAATGAATCAGCAGCCCATTCATAAAGAGAGCCGTTTACTGAATTCCTGAACGAATCAGCCGTTTGAACAAATCGAGTGAATCAATGAATCAGCAGCCCATTCATAAAGAGAGCCGTTTACTGAATTCCTGAATGAATCAGCCGTTTGAACAAATCGAGTGAATCAATGAATCAGCAGCCCATTCATAAAGAGCTGTTTACTGAATTCCTGAATGAATCAGCCGTTTGAACAAATCGACTCATAAAGACATTTACTGCCACCTGCTGGTAGTTTTAGTTTCTTCTTTAGCGTATCATTTCATTTATTTAAAAAAAAAACATTAAAGGGATAGTTCACCAAAAATAAATAAATAAATAAATTCTGTAATTTACTCACCCTCATGTTGTTTCAAACCTAAATGACTTACTTTCTTTTGCACAACATAAAAGAAGATATTTTGAATACTGTTGGCAACTAAGCTGTTTTGGTCACTGAGATGTCACTGAGATGTTTCTCGAATTATCTTCTTTTATGTCCATACTTTATGTTAGGCCATTGTAGCCTAAACATTTAACAAAATAATAGG